ATGTGGCTCCTGGCCACCTCCCCACGCAGCCCCAGGGCTGGTGGAGGGACCATCCTTGGGGGGCAAAGCCTTGGCGGCATGTTCACTCGCCAGTGCTTCTGGGAGCAGCCCCAAGCGAACCGATGAAGGTCCGGCTTGGGGAGGGGGGACAACCAAACCTGGATACATCCACATCTGGAAGGGGCACACTGCACATCTGGAGCCCATCACACAAGCCCAGGTTGGCCGCAGCTGCTCAGCAGAGGGAAAAGGGGATCAGAGGAAGGAAAGGGAGACTGATGTGAGCAGGACAGGCTCTGGTGCGGGGAAAGGAGGGCTGTGGCTGGGTGGCTTGTCAAGTTTATGGCCATGGGCTGAGTCCTCCTGTGCTGGTGGTCCAGGGGGGCTGGCTGGCTGCGTGACAGAAGCCACTCCTCTGCACGCCATAACCCCACCCCGAGCAAGAACGCCACCAAAACCCCACTCCCCAAGGGTTCAGGGGTGGGGGCAATGAGGGTCCCGGGTAACTTCCCAAGGCGGCAGGTCCTGCCCCACGGAGCAGCAGGTGGGGGGACAGACACTGAACCCATAATTGTGGCTAAAGAGAGTTGTTCACCCATCTCTGTTATAATGGTGCCAGTCAGAGGCACTAATCCCTGCAAATTCTTGCTTTGCCTTTCACGGCCGCCGAGCAGCTACCGGGGCTGCGGGGCAGGGTGCTGCCGGGCAGAGTCCGACGCTGACTCACGCGAACACGGCCGGCGGGGATCTGCCCGGCGGGTGATTTACGAGGGCTCCCAGGAACGCGGTGCCCACGCTTGCGACACTGCAAACTCCAGCTCGGAACCGCCCTGGCTCTCGCTTGTCATCCAGCACCTCCACGGCGCACACGGAAGGGAAAGGGGGGTCTTCCCTCGTGTGACGGCACCCTGTCCCTGTGGCAAGAACCCCCCCTCACAAAGCAGAAGAGGACTTTGTTTAAAACAACTTTTATTGAAAGATCATCAGGAGGATGGCAGGAGGATTGTGGGGGCGGCGATGCAGCCCGGGGCTGGGGCCTCACGCTCTCACACATCACGCGGCAGCTTGTTGGGGTAATCCTGGAAGAACTCGTTGCAGATCATGGCCAGGGAGGCCACGAAGATCATGTACTCTTGGAAATCCACCTCGCTGTCACTGTTGCTGTCTAGGTAGCCCATGATCTTCTGTAAGTCGCCCTCGTTGCTTTGTTTCTGTCCAGGGGCAAGAGGGGGTTAAAATGGGGTTTTGCATCAAGGGCCACATCCCTGGGTCCCAGCATCGCCCGTGGGACGTGGCACCCCCCAGCCCCACACTTACGGTGAAGGTGGGCAGCTCCTTGGTGAGCAGGTCCTTCAGCTCCTGCTTGCTCAGCTTGTACTTGTCCCCCTCCTTCCCCGAGTACTTGTGGAAAGTAGCGACCAACACGCCCAGCGCCTGCTCCACGGGACTTGCCATGGGGGATGCCGGCGAGTCTGGGGGCACCAACGGCACGAGCAGGTG